GGACTGGACTGGACCGGACTGGACTGGACTGGACCGGACTGGACTGGACTGGACAGGCTTCTAAAAGCATGTGAGAAGCGGCAGGAAACAGAACCGCTGTATGGTTTACTTTACCACCAATTTCCAGCTTACTTTACTTTTGAAGTGAATAGAAAACAAAAAGATTAAATCCGTAAAGGCACATTCTGACCTTTTAGAAATCAAACCATCTGTTTGACCTTTGAAGACAACAACAGTTAACCTTTCACAGACTGACAGGTCAGTCTTTATTCAGATACTGGATTGGTTTAGTTCTAGTAAAACACAGCAGCGGTGGTGGGGGGGCAGCGGGGGGTTGTTTTGTTTTGGTGACGTGTTTTGATAAATGTTTACGTCAACTTTCTGCTGTGACAAACGTCAGTTTCAGCCTCTAAAGTCTTTTAAACCAGTGTTTCAGAATCTGTGTTTGTTTGTTTGTTTGTTTGACAGTTCAGAGGTGAAGTGTTACTGCAGTACTTTGTCACACACTCCTGAGAACTGAATTACTGCTTCATGTACAGTCATGGTGGTGTAGATGTCAAACATGTAGTACCACCTTAATAATAGTACTACCTTAATATTTATAAGAAGTACAACGTGTACTATCATGGTAATGAATGAATGAATTGTGTGCTGGTCCTTAACAGTCGTTCATGGTGTGTCAACAGGTTGTGGTCGTCTGACTGCAGTGAGTGGCCCAATCACCGTGAGAGCCTCGGGGTCCAGGTTTGGCTCCTGGATGACTGATGCCATGATCCCCAGCTCCGACAGCAGGGTAGGTGCTACAGAGTGTGTGTGTGTGTGTGTGTGTGTGTGTACATGGAGACGGTGTTCTTCTGCCGGTTCTGTTTCCTGTCTCTGTCGGCGACTCCTGTGCGTTCTCTCCATCTCAGCTACAAGCTTCGCCCATTTCCTACAAACACACACTCTGTTAGGGAAGAGTGTGTGGAGCTGGTTGTCAAGGCAACTGTCTCCCACTTGCCGGGTGTGATTTATATCGCCATGGTGACCCTTTCCTGTTCCCTATTAGACTTCCTCCCCTGTGATGAGAGGGAGCTCCGCAGCAGCAGCAGCAGCAGTAACAGTAACAGCAGCAGTTATTACTGTTTAGTAACACCTAGTGTGTGTTGCATTCCTTAAAGGACCCCAAATATATACTCCAAATATATATACTCCAAATATATTCTCCAAATATATATTCCAAATATATACTCCAAATATATATATACTCCAAATATATATTCCAAATATATACTCCATATATATTCTCCAAATATACCTGACGTGTTCCGATGCGAGGCAGAAATAAAGAATGTGAAATGACAGACCAGTCCAGACGATGATGACTTGTGTCGTTTTATTTAGCTAAGAGTAAAGTCTGTTTCCTGGAGAATTCAAATCAATAATTATCCTGTCAATCACAATTAGGAGCCGACACAAATCTCCTGCATTCACTGGACCTTGGTTCAGCTGCTGCTGCTGCTGCTGCTGCCGCTGCTGCTCCCGCCTCCTGCTGCTGCTGCTGCTGCTGCTGCTGCTCCCTCTCTCTCCCCCTCTCTCTCCCTCAGTTCTTATCCCTAATTAACTGTCTCTGCTGAAAACACTCAATTTTCTTTCCATTCTATTCCCTCCACCTCCTCGTCTTCCCTCCACCTCCTCGTCTTCGTCTTCCCTCCAGCTCCTCGTCTTCCCTCCACCTCTATATTTCTATATTTGCTCCTCCACTGATCGTTGTCACCGGCTCAGGTTTCCTCTGGTTTTCTAGTTTGACTGATGAAGGAGGGAACGTTGTCTGGATGTAACCTACATTTATATAAAGGCAGGAATGTGGGGCGACCTGACTGGTAACCCTGACCGCTGGAGGTCTGTGGTGACCACAGACTGAGGTCCCCCTCTTCCCCCCTCTTATGTATTACGTTGTTATTGGTCAGTTCTGAGGGCCAGGGTATTTGGGTCAGCGTTCTTCTACTGGCCTTCACCTCCACCTTCTCACCTCCAGGTGTGGTCCATGGACGGCTACTACAAGGGCAGGCGGGTGTTGGAGTACAGGACCATGGGAGATTTTACCAAGGGCCAGAACTTTGTGCAGCACCTGTTACCACATCCCTGGGCCGGAACGGGTCACGTGGTCTACAACGGTTCCCTCTACTACAACAAGCACCAGAGCAACATCCTGGTGAGCAGAACGGTGCTGGGTGGTCAGTGTGATTATGGGATGGCGGTCTAGACCAGGATTCATGTGTCTCTGCAGGTTCAGTACCATTTCCGTTCCCGCAGTGTGCTGCTCCAGCGCAGCCTCAGTGGAGCAGGGTACAACAACACCTTCCCCTACAGCTGGGGGGGGTCGTCTGACATCGACCTAATGGCTGATGAGACGGGACTCTGGGCCGTCTACACCACCATTCCAAATGCTGGGAACATTATGGTAAAGTGTTGTATTACTGCCACCTACAGGCTCTACTCTCCACTGATAATTATTTTGGTCATATTCGGGGGGCGGGGGGGGTTGTTTGGGGGGGGATTCATCAGTGTTTCCCTAACATCCAATGATCTTCTAGTTTAAGTGCCTGAATCTCAGCCTGTTTGGTTGAAGACAACGCTGATATACTGGCAGGAATTGAAGAAAGACAAAGACACTCACAAAGATGAAGATCTTCAACATAGACATCTGCTGCCACCTAGCAGAAGAGGATGTAATTGTTCAGCCTTTCATGTTTTGATGAGCAAAAACAAATTATATTCAATAAATAAATTATAGTTTTCAGACCAATTAGACAGAAAAACAGACTGACAGACAGACTGACAGACAGAAAGACAGACTGACTGACAGACAGACAGACAGACAGACAGACTGACAGACTGACAGACAGACGGACTGACAGACTGACAGACAGACTGACAGACAGACGGACTGACAGACTGACAGACAGACGGACTGACAGACTGACAGACAGAAAGACAGACTGACTGACAGACAGACAGACAGAGAGACAGACAGACAGACAGACTGACAGACAGACAGACAGACAGACAGGACTCATCGTGTCTCTTTGTGCTTCCTCCAAAGGTCAGCCGTCTTGACCCTCGGACACTGGACGTGCTGCAGAGCTGGGACACTGGTTTTCCGAAGCGCAGCGCAGGAGAGGCGTTCATGATCTGCGGCACTCTCTACGTCACCAACTCCCACCTGGCCGGGGCCAAGGTCCATTTTGCGTACCACACCAACACGTCCACGTACGAGTACACCGACATCCCCTTCCACAACCAGTACTCCCACATCAGCATGATGGACTACAACCCCAGAGAGAGGGCGCTGTACACATGGAACAACGGGCACCAGGTGTTGTACAACGTCACACTGTTTCACGTCATCCGGAGCGACGGGTAGTTCAGCGTCACAAAATATTCTATAAAAGGAAAGAATTGTTTGTAGACAAGTCCCGCATCCCATAAACATCTGCACACAACGGTGGTGAATGTCAGAGGTCAAATCAGCAGCAGCAGCAGCAGCAGCAGGGTGGAGCTGATCGTCTCCTCTGATCCATATCATGTTACATTTCATCCCACGTTTGTCTCAACATCTGATTATAGACGTTGAGGTCAAATTGTCCAAGAAAAATAAAAAGAACGTGGGCTCGTGACCTGAATTTGACCTGGTATCAAAGAGGACGCGACCCTGGAGAAGACCTTCTGGGTTTGTCATGTGATTGTGGAAATGTTCAGTAAGCATGGTTGTTTATTCAATAAAACTGTCCAAACCTAAGTTGTTGCTGTGACCCCCCCCCCATGACCTCCCGTGACCCCCCGTGACCCCCCGTTACAGATGGACAGAGGGCAGTTCTGTGTCCCTGTGTACGAAGGAAGAGAAGCTTCACGTTAATGAAACCAAATCCAACAATGAAAAGGAGAAGATTTCATGACAAAAGCGCCATCATCAGGCAGACACTGGTACTGCACTCAGTCACCTCAGCTCCTCTGCTGTGTCTGTCAGGGAGACAGACGTGTCAGTGACTCACGCCTCCGTCCTGAATCGTTTACCTCTGGTTCTACTGGACGGTGTGACGGAGTCGGGTGTAGAGTGGAGCTGGGCTCGGACGCCCCGGTGGAGGTGAGGTCTCTGGAAAATGTCAGGGAGGTCAGCAAAGGTCAGCAAAGGTCAGCATCAAACACCCAGCGTGTGTTCAGTGGAGAACAGTGTGACACAGTCGGAACCAGAAGACCGTGTTAACAAATCAGTCAATAAGAAACAAAGAGACAGAAACTGGGCCCTTTGTTGTCATGGCAACAGCCACCGTGTGTCCAGCTGTCTGGCTTCACCAAAGGCCAAAGAACAACAAGATCACACCTTCCCCCGGGTCAGTGTCGAAACCTGTCTGCACCAGCGCCCCCTTCTGTCTGTCAGTTTTCAACACTGGGGGGCCGGGGAGGAGCACGGGGGTGTGGGGGTCAATGATGAATTAGAACAGTGGAGGTGAAGGTGGAGGGGGAGGCAGGTGGTCCACTCTGAAGACCCCCGTAG